AAGAGAAAATCTAGTTTGTGGAATAAAAGGACAAATCAGACGAGACGACTATAAATGATGCATCTCTCTCTCTCTCTCTCTCTCTCTCTCTCTCGCTGATTGTTATACTCTCTCAGTCAATTGGATTGTGCAGTTGAACAAACAGGGCTGATAACTTGAGACATGAAATGGAGTAAGCGAGGCGAGGGATGGGTGAGGAAAGGGTGAGGAAAGGGTGGTGGTGGAGTGGCCTTTATGTATGTAAACAGATTGAATTTCTATCTAAGGGGATAAGTGGCTCCTGGTGTGTGTTTGTGTGTGTGTGTGTGTGTGTGTGTGTCTGTAGTTCGTGCACTCCATCCAGAGATGATGATGTGATTGTCTCGGTATTCAAGGGAAAATGAAGATTTTGTCATTTTTGTCAGCATGTTTCACTGACTTGGACACATTTTAAACAAAAACCTCAAAGCTCTCTGTAGTTCTGCTCTCTCTCTATCTCTCTCTCTCAGCAGCACAACTTGAGGAATGAACATAAAAAAAAAAGAAAAGAACTTGTAAACAAGAGCTGGAGCCAGCCTCACTCCATCTCCACAGTTTATTTATTTATTTATTTATTTTCTGCCTTCTTTCAGTGTCACAGTTAGTCAAGACTGACATAACTCAACCCCCCTCCCCCGTCCAACACCGTCATGTATCTCCGTGGTCCCCCACCTCACACGTCCGTGGACAGCCCTGGGTGATGAGTCTTTTGTGGCTCCCGGTAATAAAGCCATTAATCACATTCAGCGTTTGCCACAAACGTGCCACACGGCGGCCGCTGCACCATCGCTCACTCGGTCCTGTCCCGGGACGTCACTGAGGACGCAGATCACTGGAGCGGAGCGGGACACGTCTCAACCTCGTGTTGTGTTTGTGTGAATGCCCAGTTTAAAGAGACATTCTGTACCGTTAATAATGGACTGGGTGACAGATCGTGGACTAAAAAGGTTCTGCGATCTTTGATAGTAACTGCATACAGTACCGTGTTTTCTGGACTATAAGTCGCACTTCTTTTGCGACTTATACTCGGGTGCGACTTGTGAAATATATAATTTCACATGTTTGTTATTTTCACACTGACAGCCACTAGAGGGCACTCTAGGCCTATTGTACCAGTATCTGCTACTCCTGCACCGCTGAAAATTTACATTTGTTATTTATGCACTAACAGCCACTGGAGGGCGACTTAGCACTAACAGCCACTGGAAGGCGACTTATACTCAACTTATGGTCTGGAAAATACGCTAATAGTATATGGCAGAGCTTCTCTGCAGGGGGCGCCAGATGCACTTGATGCCATCTTTTCGCACCTTTGCGGACGGTCCCTGCAGGCTTTAGGATTTCTTTGTATTTGTATCTTTCTATTTTTGTCCCGAAGCAATTTCTTAGCATGTCCAATGCCTAGAATTATCTAGTGCACGTTTCAAACCTAAGGCCTGCGGGCTGAATCTGGCCCATCACGTCATTTTACATCAGAGCAGATTCTTTAGTTGGGTAAAGACAGATACATCTACAGCGCGTGCAGCGTTGCAGTCCAATCGCTAATGCTAACTGATGTAGCCATCCATCTCCTGCCGCTGTGGTCAGCTCTTTCCACAGCTACCTACGTGTTCATACATAAGCAATGAGAAGTTGATCTATCTCTTCGTATTACGACGATTATGCTGACGTGAACGTTAATGGAGGAAATCCAAACACTTCCTGCCCTAAAGAGTCCAGACCCAGACCGCAGCCGGAACCGAGGCCTGACGGAGTCCGTAGTTAAGAGGGAAAATTATTGCCAACCAAACACGGGCTGTAATGTATATAAATAATAGAAAATCTCCGGTTTGTGATGAGAGGCCAAGGTAGAAGAACATGATGGGTTTTCACAAATCTGCTTCTGACCTTGATTTATTTGTTTTTCCTCTTTATGTCAACACCGTTCGATGTTGACATAAAATATATATTTAAAAATATTGACATAAAACCAGTGAAAGAGTCTGGGCGTGCCATGTCAAATCTCATCACTAGGTTTTGCTAAATCTTCCTGAATGTCCTTGGACAATTATTTTAGATTTTGATTCTTTGCTGATTCTTGTTCATTTCGTGGAGTGCCGACCAATGAGGAGTGAAATGGAATTGGAGATTGAGGCACAGAATAACCAATCAAAAGTTTGGTTTCCCAGTTTTAAAAAAAACACCACAAACTTTCTACCTTAATGGTTCAGAAATACTAAGAAGTACAGCGTTATATCACATGTAGGTTTTTTTTTTTCCAGTACCTTATCCTTATTGGTGCAAAGATGACTTCACAGATCACAGATGACGGCGTGTCCAACGAGCTGCTGTTGTTCAGATCATTTCTCCAAACGACCCAGAAATGTAAAAGCGTCTGAGCAGCTCGTCCGTCTCTGCTCCGTGGACAGTATCGATCCAGTAGTGCTGCCTCGGCAGAATATTCCACGCATCCTTTAAATGAAACCTCCTTCCGAGCTCTTTCCTCCCTGATGCTAATGCTCTTCCATTCCCACAGACACGTGGACAAACCGGTGGCTCCAGACCGGTTGCGTTCACTTTTACGGTGTCGGCTTCTCGGAGCACTCACAGCCTTTCTTAAACCCTTCCTTTTGTGTTGCTGGAACCGTTGCCCCGCAGCCAAACTCTTCCTAGTTTGCTAGTTGAATTCCTGGTTGTCACTGATGGTCTGTTTTATACAGACTTTGCGTTTTCTCCTCATGTAATTTTGAGGTATTTATATTTACCAAAACACACATATACAGTTGCCTCCTGTTAAATTATCAACTACCATATTTTCCAGACTATAAGTCGCTCCGGTGCATGAGGTGCACCAGCTAGCTAGAGTGCCCTCTAGCGGCTGTCAGTGAGAAAATAACGAACATCTAAATTTTTAGTGGTAACAGTGTAGCAGATACCGGTACACAAGCTTAGAAAACAGTGTAGCAGATACCGGTACACAATCTTAGAGTGCCCCCTAGTGGCTGCCAGTGAGAAAATAACAAACATGTGAAATTATATATTTTAATATATGTTGCAAACCCAGCCAAAGGATGAAAAAATTGCAGAAAATACAGTACATATATTTAGGTCAATTTGGACTCATGCCACAGACCGTATATTGATGTTCCAAATGCTGGTCATCATCATCACCAAAATGAAGCCAACTTCAGCAGAGAAAGCTGACGTTCACTCTTAATTGACCATAGGTGTGAATGGTAGTGTGAATGGTAGCTTATCTCTATATATGGTCATATGTTGGACCAGTGAACAGGGACGAACTCACGACCCTCAAAAGAATTAGGCAAATATAAAATGAATGAAATGTTTATATTTTGATTTAGTGCAAAATTATCCATAAATTAAAAATATATAGATCACATATATATATATTTTGATTATATTCTCCGTTCACGCTCCACCAGATCTGAGCCTGCAGCACTTCTGGAGGTGGACTGCGTTCGAGGACTACCTGCTCTTCTGCTTCGGCTTCACCGTGCTGTGCGCGGTGGTCACCCTGCTGCTGCTGGACTCCGCCCTGTTCGTGGAGACGCTGGGTTCTCTGGCCGTGATGTTCGAGGCCATGCTGGGCCTCCCGCAGCTGCTGCAGAACCTGCAGAATCGCTCCACCAGGGGCATGAGGTACGCAGCACTCAAACAGAGGTCAAACACCGTGACGCGCCGTCCTCTGGGCGCTCACCGGGCTCCGCTGAGCCACCGCTATTAAACTTAATGTCCCGGGTGTTGAAGTAATTGATACTGTTATGGAAAATATGCTAATGAGGATGGTAATAAGGTCGTTTATAATAATGAGGTGGCGTATAAAAACAGCAGGTCAAAGACTGGAGCGACGCAGATGTTTCACCAACTTATTACAGTCTTATTACAGGATGTTGTCGCGACAAAGACACAAGTCAACACACACAGGTCACATGACGCAGCTGACACACACACACACACACACTGTTTCTCATTTTAAGGTGATTCCTGGGATTTAGATAAGGGTTGCCTTTAATTCAAGGTGTCCTTGAATGGACGGCGGCGCTTTGAAAAATGCTTGGCGTGCAAAAGAAATGCCATTCTTGTTACGCCACCCTGAGGTCAGAGTGTGTGTGTGCGGGCGTCACTCTCAGTAAGACGACCATCGGATCAATTACCAACACAATGCAACAGAACCTTCAGCTAATTATGCTAATTACTCTCACATTATGTCCTCCGTCTGCCGTCCTCACTGTGTGTGAGTGTGTGTGTGTGTGAGTGTGTGTTAAAGACTGTAATATAGCGACGATGCGCTGACGTCCGTTGGAGTCAGCAGTTCTTCAGCATCGATTCCTTCTCTTACAAATATGTATTCATGTAGTCAAAGGAGTGGAGTACTGCAGTGGAGGAAGTAACACGGAGACGCGTCTCAAATTTTATACTGACTTTTTTCAGTGATGCACCTTTAACTTCATGGACTTCCTCTTCTGGTTTGTCATTCCTCAGACGACTCCTTCTGTCCTCCACGACACTGTATTTCACTGTTAAGACTCCCTGCAGTGAGAGAGGTGTAATAATGAGAGGGAGGTGAGCAGGGCCTTGATTCATGGACACGTTGTTCAACGGGAGTTTTCTTCCCTTGACTCTGTGCTGTATATGGTCTCAGGGACGAACCACCTCAAATAGATAGATGTACTTTGTTGATCCCAGGCTGATGAGTATATATATATGTATGTATATATATATATCTACATATATATGTATAATATATATATGTATATATACTTATATATATACAGTATATATATATATATGTATGTATATATATATATCTACATATATATGTATAATATATATATGTATATATGTGTATATATATATATATCTACATATATATGTATAATATATATATGTATATATATATATGTGTGTATATGTATATATGTATATATATATGTATATATACTTATATATATACAGTATATATATATATGTGTGTATATATATATATATCTACATATATATGTATAATATATATATGTATATATATATGTATATATGTGTATATATATATGTGTATATATATATATACACATATATATATATATATAAAGGGTTAAAATTACTTTAAAGTCGTTCAGGGTTAGGGATAAAGTCAGTGGGAGTTGAGCTGACGCTCAGTTGAAGCTGGTTAGGCTAGTTAAGCGTTAGCCAGATAGCTTAAGATTTTTTAAAAAGTATTCTCCACAAATATTACCAAGTACTTCACTGCAGTAGCAGAAAAAGCTGCGAGTTCAACGTGAATATTTCTAATCCTGCCTATCGATCCCCTCGCTCTAATTGGACGAACGACCCTGCTGGCCGTGAACCGCCCACTCAGCACTTCAGCCCCCGACACGTTGAAAACCAAACCCTGGCGTCTCCCATCAGTAACGACAACACCCCCCCACACACACACACACACACACACACACCTCCTCCCCCGTCTCACGCTGTCCCACGTGAAACAGTTGTTATTCTGCAGCCTGAGCCCCACGAGTCCTATTACCGGGGCGTGACGGTGAACGTGCACGGATTTGTTTAAAGCGAAGCGGCCGCGCCCCGTCCGCAGGTCGCAGGTGGCGAAGCTGAAGACAAAACACATGCCATTGGTGGCATGGAGGCCCAAACGTACGTAACCACGGCGTGCTTTAACGATGTGACTGTCACCATCACCGCTGATAACTTTCCATCATGTCGTCTCACATGTTCACACCAGTCACCACTCCGGGGAAATGGAAGGTGGGACAGGGCGGTAATGGAAAGATGGAGCGGAGGACAAAGACGGAACAGCGCCAATAAAAAAAGATGAGAAGACGGAGGCGAGGTTCTTATGGGAATGGAGGAGAACGTGTTGAACTTTTGTTGCACTGGTTCACAACCGCCTTCCACTGGGTTCATGATGACGTCTTCATACAGACAGTCGGTCCAAGTGTCTTATGGAGACGACCTGCAGCAGTTTAACCTTGACGTCTTTGAGGACCAGTGAAGATAAAATTTGTCTCATTTTACTCCGTAAATCAGCGGAAACAAATCCTCTCACGTTAAACCAAAAACTCATCAACTCTTAAATCTTGAATGATTTCCGTCAACTGTCCATCAGGCAGAAACCGTTTCCTCCTGATTTCATTTTCCCCCCGCGTTTGTTCCCTGACCTTTAAAAACACTCGTTATTCTTTCCGTAAACAGTTATTTGTTAAAATAAAAACCACAAGAAAATTTATCTAAACAGCAGCGTCTGATGTCACCAACCTGTGACTGATTACTCAGCTCTGCCTGCAGGGGGAGTGCGGGGGGTGTCTGGCTGTTGTTCCCCGTTCCTGTCATTAAACTTCATATATTTTGCCCCTCCCCTCCCCCCGTGTCTCACCCTTTTCTTCCACTTTTTTTTTTATCTCTTCTCAAGAACGGCCAACTTTCCCAATGTCACAGCGTGGCACTGAAGGGGGCGCTGACAGAGCGCTGATGTAGAAGGAGTTGTTATATTTTTGTATTCACCTTCATTCAGTTCATTGACTTTCTCACCCTCTCTCTCTCTCTCTCTCTCTCTCCCTCACCCTCATCTCTGTTGTCATATTTTCTAAAGTCAGTTTTGGCCGAAAAACTAAATATCCACCGACGTTATTCACCTGCAGAGAAATGACTGTTGACGTCTTCAACACGACAATGATTAGCATCTTTTTTTTAAGACAGTTCTCACTGGATAGTTTCGGGTTCGCAGGTTAGCGTCTTAATGACTAGCATAGCTAACACGTTTACCAGCGCTGTCATGTTGTGATTCTGCTTCTTTCCCACCGATTTTTTTTTCTCCTTAAAGTTTACGTAGATTCCAAGCTAGGCAGCTAGCTAACTCTGCAGGCGTGAGACAACGCTGCATTAGCTAGTGAGCTACACTGGTGTTTGTCGTTAATCATGGGAGTCTCACACAGATGGGTTAATGGCAGGAAGTAATTTCCCCCAGGCTTTTCAGAGTACTGAAACAAAAATATTTATATATATATTTACAGACATATATATATATATTTATTTACGGCTACACAGCCATTGATATTATTTTTTTGGACCATCTGTTTTACAGTAGAAACTCGTCATGTTTCTCATTACTTCAGCGAGGCTGCATCGATTAACAACAGTCCTCGGTGTTGTAGGTGGCGCTCTAATACTGACTTCAATCACTATACTGAGTTCATAGAGTAAATCATGTGATCTGCACACACTCACTCACTCGACCTGCGTCTTGTTTGTATTTCAAATATACTTTTTTTTTTTAAACCTCATTTTAATCTGATATTTCTTCAGGCCGTAGACGAGCGTTCTGTTTTGTCAGAGCTCCTACAGCCGAGTTAAAGATGGTCGGAGGCTGCAGCACTGAAATATTCAGTCAGTGCTGCTGCTGCTGCTGCTGCTGCTGCTGCTGAGAACAGCAGAGTATGATATATATAAAGATGATAGATATCAAGTCAGGTTTTTTATTTTTATTTCTTCTTTTTTTTTTTGGCTGTTTAAGTTGTGAATGTAATCAGATTTCTTCTTGGCCGTTTCAGCACCGAGGACTTTATTTGACCCTTGATCCACTTCAGCTCTGCGCACGTTTCTTGATCGTTATTAGCATTAATGAGGAAGAATCCATTAGTGGAGTTATTGTGTGTGGATATACAGTAAATAAAGGATGTAAACAGAATGTTTTATTGAAAATGTTTGCGTGGTTTCATCCGTGGGTTCCTTGACCTTTTGGAGAAAAGAGTGCAGTGTGTTTTCTGACATAAATTTTTTTTTCTCCTTTTGCCGATGTTCTGTGATTTTCTTTTCTTTTTTTCTCCTTTTGCCGATGTTCTGTAAAAAGGATCAAATATTTTTGCTGTAACATTTACAGTTTTCCTTCAGCAAAGTTTTGTCAGAGTTTTAGAAAAATGAGCCAGGACAGAAGGTGAGACTGGGCAGAATAATGAAGTCACAAAGGACAAAATACAGATGTTGGATTTCACCAAATGCATCGTGGGAAATAGTTATAGGCGAGTAGTACTGGGTACTACTTCTGTTTATGTACTAGTGTTTTAATCACATAGTTTCCTCCACCGAACCACAGATGAAGACTTTGCCTCTTCCTCCGCCGCTGATGTTTCATCTTCAGAATTTGAAGTAGAAGAACGATGAGAGTCGTGACCCGTTTCAAACCCGCGGAGGTTTTTTTTTTTTTTTTTCCCGTTCTTTTTACAAACATTGTTAGATGTATTTTTGAGTATTTTCACACTTTTCGGATGAAAGCGCGAGCTGATCTTTTTGAAGACTCGGACTTGTACTAAATAAATCCGACTCAGATTTTTGGATTTAAATGTAGAGCGAGATCATGAAATAAGAACCAGACAGATTTTTTTTATTCTTGTCAGGCAGCCAGGCTGTTGTAGAGAGACCGTACATCACTGACCCTCAGTACTGACTCTCAGGTAGAGACCGGTTCTGTTATCGTAAACCTGGTTTTTGGACATGTTTTTCTGTCTGAGTTTGCGTTGAATTTCCAGATGAAATGATCTCAGGGAGAGACCGGCTCTGTTATCGTAAACCTGTTTTCTGGACATGTTTTTCTGTCTGGGTTGCGTTGAATTTCCAGATGAAATGAAACAAAG